CTGGATGAAAGTACTGACTGGTTTCTTTGCACTACTAAGTAAACAAATGCATGGTGAGGTGGCCATCATCTAATACTCTTTGCTTAACTTCGGCATTATCTTTCCGGTTATCCCACGAAACTCGTGCAATGGAGCCTTTTTATTACACACCGATGGGTGTTGGACAGCAGACGGGGTGGAACCCCATAGTTATGAAGACCTGCTGTTCAGTGATGGTAACCCGTAACCTAAGCTCCGGGACTAGGAGTGGCGAACCACATAAGGCTCCGCTAGGTCAGGCGTGGTACAGAACCGGGTGAAAGGTATGCACGAACAACATTTGTTTCCATTCACTTCACACCCATAATGATCACTTCTCTGCATCACATAGCAGCACTTGTGCGCCAGCTGCAGAGGTCAACAGATGACGTGGAAACGAGGCATGAAGAAACGCACAGAGCGATTAGGTACAACCAGTGTCTCTCGTCTTCCTGGTTGGGGTCCGGAAGACTCTGCAACTGGCTGCTTGGAGACAATGAGGGATATAGCGACTAAGGGACAGCAGTGGTGTTCTTGTTGTCATTTCTTATCAGGTCAGAATGCTGGAAAAGGCATGTATGCACACTTAGATTGTGCACTGTGTTGACCATAGAGGTTCACTTTCTTTGTCTCCCTCCAGTTAAGACCAATCCATCTCTTGTGCTTTACCACTTGATTTTTGTACATTGTGAGCTTGGCAGCGATCAGTGAAGTTCGCTTTACTGTCTCGCTGTACGACGATGATGCCAGCTGCAGTATACACTTAACTCTCGACGAACAGCCGAATTTCGTGGGGGTGGCAAAGGTGCCCAGTGTTGGCAAGTACTAATCAATTCTTCATCTAAGATCCGTCGGTCACGATGTAGCTCCTAAACATAATATTTTGAGATTCTCTTTAGTCAGGATGAGATTGGGAGCCGGGTGGACCCAATCCTGAAAGAGCATCTTACACTTTGCAAGTTTAAATTTTGTGATACTCAAACAATTCGAAATAACGTGCAAATAACCTGGATCTTAGAAGTGTACATAAGAAAACTAACTACCTGACTGCATATCGATGCCATTATCTGCGCGAAGAGGCAGAGCCACTTCTAAACCGATATTCGTTAAAGTTGGAAGGAAAGAACAGGAGAACAAGATAAACATCCGTTTCCACGAGGAATACGGGCAAGGTGTGCATCACCCCGATTTATGATCTTGTACACCTCAGGAACACAAACTGAGGGACTGAATCTATCGAAAATCCAAGTTTCCATGGCTTTGTCTAACGACGAGTGCTTAACCAGAAAAACCAAAAAATACGAAATACCAAAATACGAATTTTAGCGACGGCGATGATTGCGAAATAAAAGTTCCCAGCACACTAATGTTTGAAACAATCACCGATAGATTCAACACTAAATGTCATTCTAAACACCTAGTGTCTGTACCGCCTTCCATGACTGGTACCATCGAATTGTAGCGACTAAGTCTCTGCGACAATCTATTTTCACTAAAAGGATAGCATAATTTCCAGCGTTTATTTCACTAGGTGCACCTCAATGCGTACATGTAACCAGGTATATACTGAGAACACCAGGGACAATAGGAACTAGTTCAATTCGACGCGGAGTGATGCACAGGGAAGTAGACACTATCAGTGATACGTTTATGCATACAAAAAATGTGGCTCAACGACAAACTCCATACATGGGAATCATGAAGACGAGCTACTTGTGAATATGTACACGGATGAAAGACCACTATTGGCTAGTTGAAGGAGGAACAGATCAAATGCACAACTGCTGTACAAAAATCTGCCGTGGACCAATGGTCAATTCGAAGAACACTAGGCTGGTGTTGAAGCAGCATCAGCAGCGGTCATTGTAGACAGCTTTTTTGTCGTTTGCATATAGGCTTGCATAAATTTCGCGGCGCATCGATCCAAACAGACCGCTTCTCCCTTAGTCAGATCTCCGTCAGAATACTTCGCAGGAATACATTTCTTCAAACAGCTATTTGTCATGTTGGAAAACACGTGCTGCATCATTTCGATCTCAAACATCTGCATTTGTCTTTCAACAGATTTGTCCTTTTTTCCGGAGAACATATTCCTGGTGAAAATGTCTAGAATGGAGAACAAAAAAGAAAAACATGGAAGAATTTACACGCAAAACTGAAAAGTGAGGTAGATGAAGGATAACACAATTACAGTCAATTTCCTGATGTCGCACTTCTCAGGAATTTGGAAAAAGTGATTAAATTTTAGGAACTGCGATAGAATGTTAGTCAGTAGTAGACGCGTTTGAGTAGTGTGGAAAATCAGTTGAGGGTTTTGTGACAAAATAGATAGATGAAAAGTACGTTAATTCCGTCACTTGTTCTTAACGTTTATAACTTTATTACCGTTTAGTTATAACAGAAGTTGAATAAACCGCCCGGTGTATTCCTTATGAGACCTATTACGATATCCTCAACTTAATCTTAGCGGAGTGCATCCGGTATTCGTCCCCTTATTCAGTCTAATTCCCCAAAACTGCTTACATTTCTCTAATTACTACAGATTAATACCAGGCCCTGAAGAAAGAAAAAGCAAGGGGACCGAACAGACCTCCTTCCACTCGTTTCAAGATGAGGGGCGATGAAGCCGTAGACTCCACTAATGATATAAGGCGTAACATCTGGTCACACGAGCATATTTCAGTTTCAGTTTGAACAACCATTAACCATGCACTTTCGTGCGCCGGTTTTGGTTG